ACAGAGGGAACAGGCTGAATTGCCAGCCCATCTGTCCATCTGCCTGTCCATCCTTCTGTCTATTCAGCTGTTCCTGTGCTTCACTTCATCCAAGTTCTCATTTCCCATTCTAGTTCTGTCCCCTTTACTGACCTCTGTCCCCTTCTGTCCGCACTGCATCCTTTCTCTTTGTGATCTCATGCTCTTGGCCTCTCCTTCCCATGTTTATTCCCCACCTGAGGGGCTCATCCCTTGTGGATTGTTTTCCCCTAGTGGACAAAGCCACATTCATGGTTGGCAGCTATGGGCCACGGCCAGAGGAGTACGAGTTCCTGACGCCGATTGAGGAGGCCCCGAAGGGTATGCTGGCCCGAGGCACCTACCACAACAAGTCCTTTTTCACGGATGACGACAAACACGACCATCTCACCTGGGAGTGGAACCTGTCCATCAAGAAGGAATGGACCGAATGAGTTCACCCCGTTTGCCTTCCCCCTTCCCGCCCCCCTGCCTCCTGCACCAGTCTCCAGGCGGGCCGTGCCTGTTGTGCTGCTCCCACTCCTGCCACCGCGGCTGGCGCAGCCCTCGTGGGCCCTCCTGCGGGTGCAGGGGGCTCTGTGCCAGCCTCGGTTTGTGCACAGGCCTGCGGACAGCCTTGGCTGCATCTTTTGGTACACTGAAAATAACTCCTCACCCAGTCTCACCACTGCTCCATCATGACACATAATGGGTTACATTGGGAAGCATCTCTCTTTCCTGCTTCCAAAATTTTCTCCTGCTGCCTCCGTGTCCTCTTCTACACCAACTCCGGTCCCAGAAGTGCCTTTTCTAGGACACAAGGTCACCTCGCCAGCTCCTTGATTCTCCTGGCATGGCGGACTGGTTCCTGGAAAATCCCTATCTGAGTTTCACTTGCCATGTGCTCTGGCTCATCGTAAATCGCTACTTAACTCCTGTGATGGTCTCCTGGTCTGTATGTGGTGCCCTACCCTGTTGAAATCCATGATTGTGCAGGCAAAAACAGTCAGGGGGATGCAGCTAGATGCTGTAACAAGACTTCAGAGTCCCAAGAATAAAACCAGTTTCTTTCTTCTTTCCTGCATGAGTGTCTTCTTTCCTGCAGTAGATCTCCTGGTGTTGACCTTACAAGTTTTGCAGAGGTTTATGTGAAGAATGTGTTCTAGGTAGGCATAGACTTCTTCAAAACATCAGGCAAACTCTAATGCCTATGGAACCTGGAAACATTTTGTTACCAAAAGGTAATTATTTCAGAGCTGCTTTTTTTGCAGGTTTCATGAACCCTCCTTTGAAGCCCAAAGTCTTGGCCACGACTGGGCAGACTTCTGGACTGAACAGCCCTCACGTCTCTCTCATGCAGGGTGGCAAACAAATGACCCCTGGTAGCTATACCATGACCTGCTATACCATCTCATGTTTAACTTTTACCAGGGCAACTGCTCCCCGCTTGGCCAGAGTAAATGCACGAGGTGCCTGTCCCCCTGCCTGAATGCAAGGGAGAAAGACCCTTTGTGGGAGAGCACTCGGGAAAGTGCAGTGGCCTCCCTCTGCAAGCAGGGCTATTATTAGCAATTCATGGTGCCTAGTTGTGTGGGGAGTCCCTGCTGAGTCCCTCAGATGTACAACACTGTGGGTGAGGCAGACATGGTGATAGGCACTGCCTGTGAGAACCTAGTTGGTGGTGGGGTGCTCTCTAAAGCTGACGTCTCCACAGCAGGGAGGCACTGGTGTTCTCCCCCTGCCAGGCAATTATCTCAGGAGCTGAAGGTTTGCTCCAGGCCAGCTGCTCCTTTCCCACCAAGAAACGCCTGACGTGTCACTTGCCTAGCAGAGGACTAGAAAAGGATGGTGTAGTGAAGAGAGGAAAAGCTGGGATCATGGGCACCTCCATTTTCACAAGTCTCCTCATTATTCTCCTGACTGGGGGCTCCCCAGCAGGATGTGCTGATGACAGAGTCTCCTCATCTCATGGTAAGTTTTCCTCCTGGCTCAGGGAGAAGGCTGGGTAGGTTGCAGTGGGAGGGGAGGCGATGCCATAAAGGGTTCTGGTGGGAAGTGGTCTGTGAGGGCCTGTAAGGGAGCGGGGAAGGCACTGAGTGAGTCTTCTTCATGCTGAGCCTGCTTCCTCAGGGTGTGCTGCACAAATGTTGTACTGGGATATGTGAGAGTGCAGGCAAACATGCGAACGGTGGGATGCCTGTGTGCGCATGGGGGAACTTCTTTGAGCTGCTCTTTATGTATCCTTTGTGCAATCCTGACCTTTCCTGTCCAGACATGGCTGGAAGCACAAAAAACCCTGTGCTGTTGAACAATACAGCGGACATCAAAGCCTTCACCAGTGCTGTGGAGGTGGCAGTCGTTGGATTCTTCCAGGTGTGTTCAAACCATCTCCCCATTTTTTTGGTGTTAGATGTAGTCTGGCCTGGTGGGAGCGTGGGGCTGGATAGGCTATAAATACCTTATAAAGGCAGCTCCCTCCCCAGGAAGGTGCCAAGCCTGTAACAGGCACGTGGAGGGATTAGGCGACAGGCCACAATGAGAATGTCAGGAATTTGGTCTATGTTTAGGAAGGGTGAAGAAGCAAGGGAGGAATGTGTAGGAGTCTGTAGGAGACCTGGAGGAGGAGGAATGGAAATGCTGCAGGGGAAACAAAATAGGAATGTGGGTAGATGAGAAATACAGTGAATTGGCAAGAGGTGAGAAGGGACACCAGTTGTTTGCTTTAATCACTGAAGACAAGGCATTCCTTGTGTGACAGAGCTGAGGAAGCCGTATTTCAGAGAGAAGCGCTGGTGCAGTTTTTCTGAAGTCTAAGAGGATTTGGGCTCCAGCTGCAGCCTCCGGGTGGACATTAGCATGGTCTCAGACTTCACACATACAAAAATAGCTCCTTTCCTCTGCCTGCCCTGTGCCTGAGGCTGCAGGGCAGCCTAGGGAGGGAGCCATGGCCTCAGTGCAGAGCAAAGGCACCTTACAGCACATCACAGAGCAAGGAGCAATGTCCCTGCTGTGCAGCAGGGGCAGCAACAAGTTTGTCGGTGCAGAGGCAGGTGCCCAGGGGCGGTTCTACGCACTGATCACAGAGCATCAGCTGCTGCATGCTGTGCACCTGCGGGCACGCAGAGCTGCCTTGGAGGCTGCTCTTGCTGTGCTTTATCAAACCGGTAAGAGATGCTGTGTATGCAGAGTGAAGTGCTCAGGTGTCTCCTTCATGGATGGTAAGTGACACGGTGGCTGGGCTGCACCCAGGGTGTTGCGGCCTGCTTTCGGCAGAGGCCCTCCACTAAGCTGTGTCAGGGATAGTGCTTGCTCTCTATGTCAAGTGATGTTGGGGCATGGGCACTGGTGTCTTGCACCACCATGACCTCCCCTCTCGCTCTGTGATTTCCTCTATCAGAGTTAACAAGACACTGATGGCATGTCATATCCTGACACAGGGAGAGACTGCTGCACGATCCTGCACTACAGGGTCAGCCTCAGTGGCAGCGAGCATGAGACAGAAGCTGGCAAGGTCTCATGCTCAATGCGCAAAACACAGTGGGGCTGTATTTAATCAGTAGATAAGGAGGTATGTGTGTCATGAGGGCTTGTCTTGGCCTCTGCCCAAGACTAAATTCATCCAAACGATGTCCATGGTCTTCATTCACCATAAATCATTTCTCTGCCGCAGCCTTTCAGTTCACTGCAGTATGCAGCATGCGCCGTGTGTAGTGAGCACAGTCTGCCTTACTGGGCACAGCATACCCTGATGGAAAAACAGCATACTGCTGCAGAAACCCCGTGTACGCCCTCGGAAGGCTCAGATCTGGCCTGATTAGACCCCATATTTCACAGTAATGCTCAGGGAGCTTATTTCCACGCCATACTTTAGCTCTCTCACCAAAGACGCTGTGATGCACTAGCATTTCCAAAACAGGTCACGAGAGTTGTTTTTCTTTCAATGAGGAAAGAATTTTGTTTTCCATTCTCCTTGGACTCACAAACAGCTGAGCTGACTGTTGAAACCAAAAAGAAAAACAAAACAATTTCCAAGCAGACACTGTGTCTTGAGAATGTGAATCCAACAAGTAGAAGCATCAGAAGATGCATCACTCAGAGGAAAAGTTCAGAATAGAAATGGCAACAGAGGCCTTAATATGGGCTAAAGCTGTAATTAATGCTCTTAGTACACAAAAGAAAATGAATCCCAAATTGCTGACAAATTGTACATTCCCACCACTTAGTATATCTGCATTAGCTACTGTTTAGAGGATATGTTTAGACACTTTTTTAAAAGAAGGAACCAGGATATTTTACTGCTAACCCAAACCATTAAGTATTGTAAACATTGACTCCAGAACCAAGAAGTTATCTTAAAATCATTATATACACATATACGTATATAAATATATCTGGAGTCTGGACTTTTCCCCTGTGTTTTGAGAGCTCTAGGGCCTTACATCATCACAATTTTATTTGTTAGCATGAGAATAATAAACAAGGTTTAAAAGAAATGAAAACTGAGATTTCCGCACCACTGTAGCTGCCTGTGGCTGTGGTTTTGAACACAGTTTGAACAGCACGTTTCCCAGCACATGACACAGTGGGTAATTGGCTTCACCGCCCCCGTGCCTTTCTTTGCCTGTTCTTCCGAGATGAGGTGGGCGTCAGGGGAGGGATCTCTGCATGGGATCCCAGCAGTAGGGGGAAAAGAGACAACAGCAGGGGAGGATGGGGAGGAAGGAGCTCCCCACCCCTGTTGCAGGGCCTGTTTTTAATCCTCCTCCCAACCCAGGGAGCTACGTTTCGGTGAAGGGATGGATACACAGGCATGTGCAGGCACACACACACGTGCACACACACACTCCCCATGTCATGCAGAGCCCTGATGGGGCCTAGTGACACTCAAAGATCCTGCCCCACACTGGATCTTGTGGGGCAAATGGAGAAGCCCAAAAAAACATGTGTGAGGGCAAGCAAGGCTCCAGGGTGAGCGCCCACGGGCCCTGTGTGGTTGGGGCTCTGGCATGGCTCCTCTTTGCCTGAGGTGTCCCAAGGAGCTGCAGAGCCCAGCTTGCCCCCTTTGCTCACCGCAGCCCCACCAGCGCTGGGGCTGCAGTCCTTGGGCTCCCCATGCCAACATGGGACAACAGCGCAGGCAGTAGGGTGAGAGGGCATTGTGTGGGGTGAGGAAGGGGGCTGATGCAGTGAAGGGAAAGGTAGTGGGGTGAGGGGGGGATGGTGTGGGGGAGGAGAGGGCGAGATGGCAGTCTGTGGGGTGAGGGGGGACAGTCCGTGGGGCAAGGAGGCAGGTGGATGGGTGAAGGGGGCAAGTTGTGGTGTGATCAGACAGGTGGGGCAGTGAGTGATCAGACTGCAGAGTGGAGCCTCGATTAGGCTGTGGGGCAAAGGGACAGGCAGCGAAGTGAGAGGGGACAATGTGGGGTGAAGGGACAGGCTATGGGGAGAGGGGACAGGTGGTGAACAGTGAGGAAGGATGACATGGGATGAGGTGACAAGTTGTGGGGCGATGGTGGCAGCTGGTGGGGCAAGGGAACAATCTGTGGGGCGAGAGGACAGGCTGTGGGACAGAGGAACAGGACGTAGAGTGAGGGGACAGACTGTGGGACAAGGGGCAGGCTGTGGGGCAGCGTGACCGCGGCGGGCACCAGGTGTCGCCCTCACGCCACGATGGGCGCCTCCTCATCCTCGTCCCTCCTCTCTCTCCATCTCCCTCCCCTCTTTCTCCCTCTCCATTTCTGTCCCCCTTTCCTTTCTCTCCCTCCCTTTCGTGCAGGACCTGGAGAGCGCTGAAGTGTCTGAGTTTCGGCAGGCGGCTGACGTGATCCCCGAAGTGCCCTTCGGCCTCAGCACCAGCCCATCATCGTGGTCCCACTACAACACCACGGCAGGCACCCTTGTGCTCTTCCGCAGGGTGTGTGGGCTACCCCCTGCTCCCTGCTCTTCAAATCCAAGCGCCCCGAGCAGGGTCGGGTGCACTTGGACCTACATCCCACAGCTGTTACAACGGCTGAAAGCCTGGCGGCCTTGCTGGTAGTGTGGAGGGTCCTTGCCGTGCAAATATCCCTCTTGATGAACGGGATGTGGTGATCTGGTCATGGTGGGACAATACCCTCCTTGGTAGGCAGAGGATATTTGCAGAGGAGAAGGCAAACGTGCCAGAGCTAGGTGTTGCGTGAGCATTAAATGGACAGTGCTTCCGCAGGCTGTTCCAAGCCTAATGTGCACTGGGGATGCAGAAGGGCCCTTACAGAGTCCACATGTTACCTCTGTGCCTTGTAAAAGAGCTGAGCCAGGCGGATCCCAAGGCTATTTCCAGATAATGCTCCGTTCCAGGGAAACATTATGCCATACATTAAAATTCAATAGAGGTGACACTGCCTACTATTTTTAGTGAGAGAGGCTTTAGAACAAGAGCTTAGAAGTGATCCATAATCACATTACAGAAGAAATTAAATCTCTGGGTAGCAGTGATAAAGAAGAGGACTAAGGGCTTTTCATCTCTGCTTAGTGCTAGCAAGCCAGAAAAATGCTTATCATGAACAGGCAGTCTACCTGCGCATCAAAAAGCCTGCTCCAAAGTGGCCTTCTGCTTTTCACTTATAGGGCATGCATCCCTAAGATGCATGCAGCACTTATTACACGTGATGAGATTCTCCATTTTAAACGTGCACCCTGTGGATCTGGTCCAGCATCCAGTGCTTTGCAAAGAATGATGTCTGTGTTTCTGAGCGACCAGCATCAAGCTCAGTGTTACTTGGATGCTGTTCCTGTGGTTTTGGAAAGACTCCTGAGATACATGAAAAGAATCTAGAGACCATGTTACAATGGATCAACACAGCAGGCTTGAAATCAAATCTTGCCAAGTGTCACTTCAGGCAGGGAAAGCTGTCTCTCTGGATGCACAAATTTTCCATTGTGACTGAAACCAGATTCACGCTCAGTCCTGTCTTGGCTCTTATGCTTTGGGGATGCACCCATTAAAAACCCATTTGCAGTTTCTTAGAGAAGAATGCTGCACAATTTCAGACTCATGTTGATTCCAGATGTAATTTTGGGTGTTTCACTCTGAAGCTGAAGCTATGTTTGCTCCAGTTTTAAGGGATGGTATTGGGAAAAACCTTTTATGTGCTCCAAGAATATTAATGAAAGCTGAGAGCAAGTATTCAGGTGTTTATATGAATTACATTGTGTTGTCTTTTCTCACATAAGTGCAGCACTTGGAAACTCGGCAAGAGAAGTGTATTGAGCATGAGAGGGCCCTAGGTAGTACAAGATGTTATAAAAGCCTGTAAAATGCTTTGCCAGAGGAACTCTAAGCACGCTAGGAAGCTCTGTGTGTTTGAGAAAGTAAGTATGGTATCTTGACCCATATCTAGATCCAGACCGTGCAGAGATTATATAAAGCCACCTTCTTCCGCCCTTCTCTCATCATTTCCTGCCCTGTATTTACCACTAGCCTAGTCCAAATAATGCAAGGAGAATGAACTAATGATGAGTAGTAGACAAGGGCCTTTGATTTCACCTTTTATTTGCTACATGCAGATGTTGCAATTTGAAGCAACGCCCATCTCATTTGTGGTTCTTGTTCATGATGATTTGCTTTCAAAACAACTGACAATTCACCTGCATAATTTTGATTTTTTCCTAAATTTAAATTAGTTGGTCACATTATTTTTTTTCTTTTATTCATTGCTGAATACTATGCAGGACTAAGATGTCAGAGCTAAGAAAAAAAGAACTGGCATAGGTTCTTGCAATCAAATACTTATTTGAAGAATAAAAAGATCCATGAGCAGGGTAGCAGGGAATCAGAAGCATAAACCACATCCATTTGCATGGCATGAAACATATATAATGCTCAGAAGTTTAAACCATAATGATAGCAGCATAACAGGCTGCTGACAACTAGTGAGACTTCTGATAGGGGAGTTAGGACGATTTATTCTAATGAAGAATCTGGCCTGATAGACCTAAAAAGAACATAATTAACAGATGCCAATTAGCTAATTACACGGAGTGATAAAGACATTTGACCAGAGCTTAAACTATTGGATTCAGGATATCTTTCACCCTTTTTTTCAGATATTTTTCTTGGAACCATCTCCGCTGAGAGCACAATTAGGATATTATTGTCCCAGAATAGAAAGCAGGTGTTTGAAAAGAGCCCATGAAAGTCAAGAGTAGGTTTTTTGTGGGGTACAGAGTGCTTTAGTTTGGTTCCTAAGGCCTCTCTGGTTTCACCCGCACAGGTGGTGCCTTGGCATGATCCCATCACTATAGTGGAGATGCCCTTTCATTTTGTGCTGGAGCAAATCTGCGAGTTTAGGATATTATTGTCCCAGAATAGAAAGCAGGTGTTTGAAAAGAGCCCATGAAAGTCAAGAGTAGGTTTTTTGTGCGGTACGGAGTGCTTTAGTTTGGTTCCTAAGGCCTCTCTGGTCTCACCCGCACAGGTGGTGCCTTGGCCTGATCTCATCACTGTAGTGGAGATGCCCTTTATTTTGTGCTGGAGCAAATCTGCGAGAGGAATCAGGCTGCAGAGTCTGCAAAGCACCACTTTGGGTGGCCACGCAGAGTACAGTGGTCCCTAGCCGGATCAAAGTCCTTGCTAATGACCACAGAACAGCAAAAGGGGCTTTAGATGTCTGCACACCTTTGGAAAAAACAACACACGCTTTCAGAGGATGTATAGATGCAGAGAATAAACTTGGGGTGGATATATGGACATTTCCTCAGCCCAAAGAACTTCATATAACATGTATATAAGACACGTCTTTAAATCCCAAACTTTGATCCTATTGCGTATCACAGATCAGCATCCCTATGGCTCAACTCAGTCACCTCCCATGGTCCCAGTTCTTCGCTACACAGCAACTGTGCCCCTTTGGGGTGATTTAGTTATTATTTAATGTTTGCCTTCTATTTCTCTATTTACTAGGTCAAGCGAACCGCAACAAATTAAACCACAATGTGGGTGGATGGGTGAAGTGTGGGAGATGTGTGGCAAGATGGATTTTCCTCTAAAGCTAAAATCTGCTGGGCTTGATTTTTTTCTGCTGTACTGGAAGAAAAAAAAAAGTCTCTTTTTATTGGAGAGATTTCCTGCTTGCACAATGTTTCCAGGAAACTCATACAGGCCCATGCCAATGTTTATTACTTTTAGAAGAAACAGAATAAGCATATGAAGATTTTAAAAATGAGTGTAAAGCCAAGATCGATGTAAGGAGTTAGGCTGCCTTAATAATCTCTCCCCATGGCCCCTATAAATGTTTATCGGCTAATCCTCCCTGTCTCCAGTACAGTAGGAGCTGATACTGTGGAGATGTCTGGCATCCTCAGTAATTCCTATTATGCCATGAGTTTGCCTTGTCCTTGGGAGACTGAAGGAGAGTGGAAGAAAGATTTCTGCATGCCCAGACAAATCTATAAGGAGTCTGGGCCTTGTGAGATGGGGATTACGCTGTGGGCAGGAGAAAAGGGTGGTATCCTGAGGGGTGTCTGTGTGCACAGGTGAGCGCGTGCCCATCTGTCCCTCTAGAGGCAATACGGAGGGAGAGGACAGCTGTGACTGTACATCTCTGTACATCTCCAGGCAGATGGTGACCAGAGGTATCTGCATAACGTAGACGGAGAAGAAATCAAGGCTGAGACGATGATTCGTTTCGTTCGGATAAACGAGCTCCGGCCGGTGACTGAGTACAACCCTATGGTAACCCATCAGCTCCCCACAGTCCCTGCCTTGGCGCTCGGCCTTCTCCTCGGGCCCCCTCTTGCCCATGCAGATGTGTGCAGCTCCCAGAAATTGTTGGTGCAACTCCCCAGATTTGTCAGTTCAGCCAAAGAAAGCTATTTCACACAATGTTTCCGTGCTGCCATCTTCACTGTCTCTCCACCTGGTGATTGCGGTGTCCCCATGTCTCTCCCTCCATTCAATGGGGTACCAAAGGTTAGAGTTTTTAAGCTCTCCTGAGACCCATCAGTTGGCTGGGCTGATTACTGTGAAGCCAGTATATCCCAGAAGCTGTGTTGGCTGCAAGGCTGAGAATTCTGCCATTTCTTTTTTACTTTCTTTTTTTTTTTTTTCTTTTTGTGGACTTCTGAATAGCTAGTGCTGATCAGGCTTAGTTTAATCTAAGGAGAATGGTACAACCTGTTTCAAAGCTGTACCTTTGAAACCGGTGCCAAGGATCACTAAGAGAGCTGGTCATTCCCCATTTCAGGTGCAGCCTGTGAGGGGAGAGGGCATTTTGTTTTGTAAATACTCCATTTTGTTTCCAAGTGTAATATTGTAGAAGTTCTGTTTAAAAAAAAAAAAAAAGTGGATTTGATTTTCACCTTGATAAGGGATGTTAAAAATATTTCAAAATCGCAGAATATTTCCTGGGAGAGAAAAGTTATTTCCTGCCCAGTTGTCCTTACAGCCCTTTGAAAACACCCAAATGATGACAGCAAGGATGTTATTGTTATCTTTATAAATGTCCAGTCCTGATGAATCCTAGTATTGTTTTCTCCTCCATTGTATCTTTTGGCAATTGATTAGAATATTGCTTATTTTCACGCATTTCTCATGACACTTTGGGCTCTTACGTTGTTTTGTCCTGTTTTGCACTCAGGCTGTCTTCTTTATCTAGAAGTGCCTGAGCTGTTCAGCCAGTCCCCTCCAGACTGACTTGCCGTACACATATTCCAGTTTTCTGCTGACGCCCTGGAGTCCTACCAATCTGCTACACTTAACAGCGCCTCCTGCACCCCAAGGCCCAAAGCCCTCCCAGCTCTGCTAACGTAGCTTGGACTTTCATAAATATTTATTCCCAGTGCATATGCTGTTTATATTTTAAAATGTTACAGGTCAGCAAAGGCTTGCATCAAACTAAGCCCTGCCGATAATTTCTATCCCTATCCTGGGGCCCTGGCTGTTTCGCCCACACACTTTAGGCAGTTTTTAGGCAATGATCACCCTGAATACTTTCCAGAGAGTCGGATGTGATCTGGCCATGCTGGTGAGCCTATGCTAATAAGCCATGCTGATTCCTCTTGCAAAAGGCTGTGAGAACAAACGCACCTTTGTGTGGAGTTGCCAGAGCAATTGCTGTACTCATCCCGGACCCTCTCAGCCCTGCCCTGTAGTGTAGGTTTCATTCTCTGTTTTTCCAGTCCTGTCCCCTTCCATGAGTTTTTCCAACACTCTTCAGCCTGGTCTGCCTCCTCTCTATACTCTCCTGCATCCCATCTGCACATTACACAGAAGTTAAGGATACGAAATGCCCCATAAACATTAAGCTAAGGGGGAAGTCCCGGCCGCCAAAAAACTAAATGCCTTGTGGAGCTCAGCCCTTGCAGAAGTGCACTCCCTGACCCCTTCACTGTTACTCTTGGAATGTGTTGAAACTTTCTGCTCCTTTAGGGAAGAACTGGCGGGAGCTGGATGTCTGCATCTCCGTGGTTTCAGTGGCACGGGGAAGGCAGCAGGTCAGCTGTAGCCTGGCCAGGTTTCTGTTTAGTTTGAGGGAGAGGCTACATTGCAGGAAGAGGGCAGGAGAAGAAGTAAGATGACAAATTGCCCAGTGCCTGGAGAGAGAGCAATGACTTCTTGGTCAGTGCCACCCCCTGTCTCCTCACAGAGGGCCAGTGTATGCTGCCTGCTTGGCCCTTCCTCGGGGTCCTTTTCCCAGTTGAGACCTGCAGAGACAAGTCTTAGCCCTCGGGGCTCTGGGCTGCCCAGCTCTTGAGGTTGCTGAAATGGTGTCTACTGGGAATGCCTCCTCACTATATACAACTTAATGCTAAAGAAAGGAAACGAGGGGACACACCAGCCCTAACACCACAAATCCTTCCTGCTTTCTTGCTCCCATTTCAACCAGGTTCCAAACATGAGCATTTCAGTGCACCATAGTTTAGTGTTCACTGGCCTTTCATCTCCATTTCCTTGCCCCTCTAGACTTCATGTTGCTGTATCTAGACAGTCCCCTTCCCTAGTTACTGGCCATTCTGATACTTTGGCCTTGGGGTCTTAAGACTCTTGGCTCAAGAATAAGTGAAACCAGCAGTTTAAGAGCTTGGATCCCTCCTACTTCAGAGAAAGCTGTTCTGCTTGTAGGGGTTATTTGCCAAGGAGCTGATCAGCTAAAATATGAGAATTGATGTCCATCTGCCAATGCATCCAGTGTAGGTTGAGTATTCTTCTTCTCTTACCTATGCTTCTCTTTCTATGCTCATGATGGCTGTGTTTTTGGCAGACAGCAGTTGGTCTGATGCACAGTTCGGTCCAGTTGCACCTCCTCCTGATCACAGACAAGAGATCCTCAGAACATCCTGAACGCATGCACAGATTTCGTGAGGCAGCAGAGCTCTTCCAAGGGAAGGTGAGTCCAAACAGAGCTGAACAGGATCCACAGGGAGACAAGGGAGAACAGTAATTTATTTTGCAGATGCAGGGGGACATAATCTCCAGCATGTTAGGAGAGCAAAAGCCAAATGGTAGGAAAAGAGGATTAATTGGATAATCAAGAGGATTGGATTTGTTCTTCTTTCGCCAGTTTTCCTCCTTATGGGGAAAATTTCTTTTGTATTCTGCTATCCCACTCTCTTAGCAGGACATTTTGTTTTTTCTTGCTTCTGGTCCAGTTTTGTTCCTTTGCAACTGGGAGATGACAAACAGCTGCTACAGTTCAGTCTCAGGATAGCTGCATTCCATTGGTGTGAGAGGTGATTTTGTACATACAGCTTGTGAGATGCCAAAGAGCATTATATAAGTGACCAGATAGTAATTAATGTCATGGTACTTCTGAACCCTTAACTGTTTGGTTGGGTCCTTGGGAATGGACTGTTTTAAACGAACAGCAGATGGGTTTGTCAGATTTCCCACACTAAGGTGGTAGGACAGATTATGATTTTTAGAGAAATTTCCCCCAATTCCCATCCTTTTACTGACTCCCCAAGTAGTAAATCTTCCCATGGCTGATTCTCCACCAGCAGCTGGATTAGAGAGGGATTTGTGTCTAGGAATCAGGGGAAGGAACTGGCAATTTCAATTGGTTGGAACAACGGGAAGGCATTTAGGGCAGAGGAGAACGGCAGGTGGGTGTGCAGGCAGAAGCTCATAGCAGTGGAGGAGCATTGGGCTGCAAAACGTTGAGGCTTGGGAACAGGAACACCTACAGGCGTCTGCTTGCATGATTGAAGGGCCAGATTAGAAACAAGCATATCCTTAGCAGAACCACGCATCCTCAAATGTCTTGAGATTTATTTGTGGCCAGACTACACTGGACCTTGCAATCTCCCACCTGTCGCCAAGAGACAAAGCCAAAAGCTCTATTGAAAAGTGTTTTGCTTTGATCAATCCACACTGATGAAAGAAAACTCCTTTCTCTGAAAAAGTGACACCATTATTCCTGTTCTCCATGAGCTGCAGATTCTGATGCAATATGCTCCCATCAGCTAGCTAACTCTTCTAATGCAGTGCATCTCTGTTCAGCATCACTGTCCTTCGCTGATGTGTCTGTGCCTGGTTTTCACTTCATGTGACAAGCCCAAATCGGCGCGAATGTGAGTTAAATTTCCTAGAAATACTTTCAAAAAAAAAATGGGAAAACATTGTACTGAAGGCCAGATAATTTATGAATTAGACAGCAAGCCAATGTCTATTTTTTTTTATTTATGCAGGCAACTTTCCCATCAAATTAGTACAGTGGGAGTTGCTAGAGGGAAATAGTGAGAATAAAGATGTGAGGATTTGACTGTTACATTTCACTGCAGTGATACTGCAAGGCACATAGATAAAAGTGAGAGTGTAAAAAGTTCTTTCCCCCAGAGGAGTTGCACTCTGAGAACTAAATTGTGATGTGAAGTGTCCTTCTAACAAAGCAGTATGAGACAGGTAGGACCCATCTGTTTGTCTATATCTAGGTTTTAGATCTAGATTCAAAGGAGTAAGCAGAGTAATATGTCCATTCAGAGTTCTCTCCATTGCTTTGTCAGGTAGAAATATGTGAATTAGTTTGAGTACCAGAAGCAGCCACTGCACAGTAGCATGGAAATCTCTGTTGGCTGTTTTTTCTAGGTGGAGTTATTAGTTATCAGGGCTACCAAGTTAACTCAAATTTATTTCAAACAAGCAAAATATTGAGTAGATTTTGCCTTTTCATAGCTCATAAATTCTCTGTACATAAATGCAAGTTAAAGCATTGAGTTAAATTTTACTTTCTTCAGAATGACTGATGAATAATCCTAAGCCTATAGGCTGGCTGTGTGTTAGTGTTGTCAGAAATTCAAGTAAGGGATCCTTGCTGTCGAGTGGAGAGGTGTTCAGGTTCCCTGTAAGCATGTACCACCAGAGCCTGCACTGTTTCACACTGGCTGCAGAGTGCCAGAAAAGAGAGGGGAGACCCGGTGCATGTTGTACCTTTTCCACAATGACAGCACAGAGCACATACATGGGCTGGAGAGGGTTCCCAAGCCGGGGAGGAGGTAGTAATCCTAATTTCACGCTGCTCTGCTGTGGTGTGAGAGAAAAGAATGGATGAAGAGGGAGGTGATCTACTGGATCCAACTCCTAGATGATGGTCCCTTCATCTCTGGTTTATGGTCTTTTCACCTTTGGCTGAGAGGAAATTCAAGCTTTCAAATCAGGAGGATCAGTGTGGAGGTCAGGTAATGGCTGTTATTTGAACTGTAAGTAGTGAGTATCTGAAGACACTCTAGATTTCTTTATAGTGGAACATTATAGTGGACATTATAGTGGAACGTGAAAGCTATAAAAAGCTGGAGATGAAAGTGCCAATGTTAGATAATAATTCACTAAGAGTGACAAGAATAAGAAGAAAGATGGTACTCTTCTAGCAGACCTTGAGAAAAAAAAATGTGGATGGATAACAGCAAACAGAGAAAACAGAGCACTGCAGCTGCAGCAGAGAATCCCCAGTCTTCTTGGAAAAATCCCACAGCAATCAAATATGTGCTTATTTGGAAAAGTACTGCCAAAAAGCCAGGTTTTCTGATGGAAAGGAAATATCAGGATTTGCATCACGGAGCCAAACTAGCATAAGTGTCTTCATTTTTTTTTCCCCACATTATCAGAGTATAACATGACAATTACAGCTGTTGAACTTCATGCGTGTTTGCAGAAGTTTCAATAACATTATTTGAGAATTAACCAAAGCAGCTTTTGCTGCAACTGATATATATTTTGTATGCAATGTCAAAATGATGTGGGTCACTTTTTACTTATATATGGAACCCATTTAGAAATTATTTCAGGGAAACTGCTGCTACAGCAGTAACTGCTGTAGCTATGTGAGAGGTTACTCAGGCTTAAGAATTCAATCTCTTTGCTTATGCAGTCTTCTCAAAGAATGAAGGTTGTAGCTCTGTAAAGCCCAAGGTCAAACATTGGGTATGCGGTTTGATCATCCTTCCTGTTTACCTGCCTTAGAGAACAAAATAGCAAACATGAAATTGTCTTCTACCATTGGAATACTATGTTCAGTTAAACTGAACTATTTGAGCAATAGCATCATTTGCAATAGCATCAATAGCATTCTAGTATTTACCTGGAACTTCATGTTCTAAAAGCCCTGGGCTAGAAATCAAATTGTCAAGATGCCAAGACAGCACTAGGCTGCAAAATTCTCTTAAGGAGAACATATTTTGAGGGAGAGCACACAGATAATTTTTCAGTGTTCTGTGTTCATGGACTGTCACGTGGTGTGGAGGGAGGAACTGGTGCTGGAATGCCCAAGACATGCAGAATATTCTTCACTGCCTCTAGTAGCAGGCCACCAAAAATGAAGACTGTTACAAGATAAAACAATTTTGTGCAAAAATGAAGAAAACAGTTTCTACAGGATAGTTCAAGACAGGAAACAAACTTTCTCTTTTGGGTGAAACTACTGCTTTCTAGCAATGATATGAGATTGGCATCAGAAGTAGGATTTTTTTTTCTTTTTTTGATGAACTATGACTTTGGTAAGTGGTCCTAACTGAGGCCATAAGGACAGACATATACTTCCTTCTCTTCTAGAATAGGTGGAATAAAATTCCTCTCACCTCTTATGGTAGAGAGGACCTAGATGACTGGCAGAGACCAGATGATTTTTTAAATGGCAGAAGTCTGACAAAATGTCTCATGTGAAGAATGTGAGTAACAACTAAAGCAAAATAGTAAATGAGTAAACCCCTTCTTTCCTTGCAGGGGAGTCAGTATAATTTTCCCTAGCTGCTGCATTAATTCTTTATCGTTACAGCTGGTTGGGAATCTTTCAACAAAATTAATTATGAGGAAATGCCAGTTCCACCAGGAGAAATCAGTCACGGAAATGTCCACATTCAGAAATGTGTTTGGTTTCCAGATGTTGAGAGAGATCAGGCTTCCTGTGTTTGTGGCCTCAGTACAAATCCACCATACTGGCTGCCTCAAAGTTATAACTGCATGACTACACAGTCTTTAACAGGAACACTGAAGCATATCTAGCATAGCATGCATATATATGTATGTATATACATGCACACACACATATATATGTATATATTTGAATCAAAAAGAAATTGTGCCATATCACAGCTCTTATCGGGAATTAATAATTTCAATAGCCAAGTGAAGGCATTAAGGAGTCCTTTCAAGTCACAATGGACATAAACAATTGCAGTCTGTCGCATATTTCTGGAATATCACTCTCGAGAGGGGAAGGAACTTCTTTATTTCTGCACCCTGAAATTCTTTGAGGCAAATGTGAGTCAGTAGTCACATCCAAGTCAAGAACTGTGAATGCTGACTTAGCCCTTCTAGCTGCTGGGCCAAATGTTTGTGTTTTAGTTCTTTTCTTCTATAATGGAAGCAAGCAAAAGTGTTTTGAGGTCTAAACATTAACTTTTTAAAAATTATTATTCTTACTCTATTCTTATATTCATGGATAAAATATTTACAACTTTTTAGTTTGGGGATTTGTAACAAAGGATGGAGGTTTGATGAAGTGAAGAATGTCAACTAAAGTTCATATTGCTATATTAAAATATTATTAATCTGTATTAAAGCTGAAGACTTTTAGCATAGAATGTGTTAACATTTAACAGTTTAGGAATTCTGTTTTTATTAACTTCTCGATTGGTATTTGTTTAGCAAATTTTTGTTGTTGTTTGTTGGATCTTTCAAAGAGAAAAATCAAAAGTTGGTAAATGACATAGTTGGTCAAACTGTGGTACCATCTCCCCTACCGTTCCTCTGAGTGTGCTTCCCTCCAACACCAGCCTTTGCTTCCGGATCACTAGCTGGAAGGATATATCCATACATATACTCAGTATATCCATTATTGGGTATTATACAGGTATTATATACCCATCAATATACCCCTGAGTATACTGAAGGGTATACTGAAATACACCCATTGTTTAAATTACTTCTGCTCTGTCCAAAAACCTGATGTTATCCTCTTAGACCAGATCCATTTTCTCCCGTTTGCCACTTTAATAAGATTGCCTAGTAATCCATGTCCAAATGCGGTCATCTCATATGCTGGCTGTACTCTGGATATAATCTCATATTTGTCCACGGACACATCGCACAGAACAACATGTCTGTGTACTGTTTGGGTGAAATGACATGGGGAGGTATTCGAAGTCCGTATTAACCTAGGGGAGGTGAAATCACATCCCTTTGCTATCCCATCCTTATAGGTTCTCAGGTTGGGTCAAATTGGCATGAGGGTTTACTCTTCCAAACGATGAATTTAGCACTCTGGGAGAAGGTCCCCACAACAACTCTGCTTATTAGTGTATTGCCTTTGGGGCACAGTTGAATTTTGAAAGAGAAATCACATGTAGTAAATATCAGTCACAGTCAGTGAAATTACTGTTCCTGTTTCTTTATCATAGTGATTAGGTGCAGTTAACTCTTCCACCAGTCTAACTATTCCTCTTCCCACAAGCTTTTGCCTACAAAAGTTTTCTGCAGAAACTGTATTTATTTATGTATTGTAAATGCCAGTTTAGAAGAATTTGAGACATACCAGGTTTATTTTTAGAAATTAAAAAAAGTTTTAAACCAACTTGAATGTTCTTGATTGAAAGGAAAATCATGAGTCACAGACTAGGAACCAGGCTCATTATTTTCACAGTGCATTCATTTCCTTTTTGTAAAATTTTCTTTTCTTTTCTTTTTTTTTCTATAAGTTAAGGCATATCCATGTACATAGGTACCTTTAACATGGTAGGCTAAGTAGATCATACAAGATACAGCAAAGATAAAATGACATATATTAAATGGATGTTTGCTTCTTTGGCTTGGATGTCACCTGCCAATGGATAATATTTAACTAAGATCATTGATCATATTTCTCAGCTTATGCACTTATATTATGAAACATAAAATCTTTCAAGGATGCAATCACCTTATCCTAGTGACGTTCAAGGAGAGGAGTCAAGACAGAAGACATCTTGTTTCCACATCTATTAAAGAGAATAGAAATGGAGACCGCCTCCCTGTCTTAGTATACATTTTAAAGAATGTATATAATGTACACATTTTAAAGAAATAAAGAATAAGACACTTTGTTTGCTACTGTGAATCTGGACTTGATAAAATAGGGAAAAAGGCACTGCAGGCAACAGTTAGACATTGGCAGTGTTGTCCTAATGGAGTCTGGTATATGTCCTCAGATCTAGCTTCACTCATTGCAATAATATCACTATTCATCTTTATATGATGACAGTTGAGGGATCTGTTTTCTCTCTAATCTCTGTTTTTCTCATCTTTTTTCTTTTCCTTCCATCACAGATTCTCTTTATCCTGCTAGACAGCAATGTGAAAGGCAATGAAAAAGTGATATCATTCTTCAAACTGAAGAAGTCCCAGCTGCCAGCTCTGGCTATATACCGCTCAGAAGATGAGGAGCAAGACGTGTTGCTTCTGGATGAAGTCTCTGTTGATCGTATTCAGGGCTTCTGTAATGTTTTCTTACAAAGAAAGCAGAAGGTAAAGGGAACTCCTGCTCAGTCTATAGGAAGCAGACCTGTATGGGAAAATGCTGTTGATTAAAAAGTTCTTGAGGAAAATACCTTCCGTTGCTTGATCTCTTCCCCACTTCTTCCACCTCCTCTTTCATTTTCAATTATACCTGGATATTAGAAAAGCATTAGGTCTAAAGCACAACAGAGATGGATGTGTTTGAAGAGCCTCTTTCTTCACTGGCCTCTGCCTTCTAGTCTGCAGCAAGTAGACTTCACTGAAAAGGTCTCAGTGAAAGCACCTAGTCTGCAGCAAGTAGACTTCACTGACCTCTGCAACTATGAAAAGGTCTCAGTGAAAGCATCTGCTTCTGAGAGTAGCAGTTAGGGACACCGGACTGAGAGTGCTTTTGGACACTGAGAATGGGGACAGTGGTAAGCAGCATATAGGAGGGGATCAGCGAGACAGAGCAGATAGAAAGTAAATCTGTCAAGAAGGCCATAGAATACAGTGCACAGACAAGGACTCAGGACTCTACCCAAGCTCTTTAGTGTGGAAAGGACAATTTAATCTCCATGTTCGCTCTGTGTTAGAGTCCTCTTTTTTACAAAGCTTTGTATCAGAGACCTCATATGTCAGGGGCCTGTGTTGTGCAGTTGAAATGGGATAAGCAGGGCAGTGGTAGAGAAACCATAGCACGGTGCAGAAGGCTTTTAAGTTTCCTGTTGTCAACAAGTTGAAAACTGAACCATGTTTGCTCTAATATATTTTAGAAAAAAGATGAACCAGATGAACCAGCGGAGAAGGCCGTCAATGAGGAACTCTGATTCCCTTCTCAGCCTATAGGATGACTCTGCCCAGAATATTTTGTTCTTGATGTATGAAGACTTCACTAAGCCATTCTGCTCAGGAATTTCTGGGACAGTAGGAATAAGGGGCCAAGTCAATCATGGCTTCCTGCCTCCTTACCATATACATATATCCTCTCTAAGAATTTTCCTCCCTTCTTATTTGCTGGCTCTAACTCTTTTTTCTCTTTATTCCAAGAGCACCATTTTTCCCTATACTGCATCCTTTCTCTATCAGAGCAAAGGGTGATACAGCAAAAGGGAAGTATCAGCGATACAGCCTGTGGTGCCAAGAGAAGCTGACAGGTCTGTTTCCCTAATACTGGCTCTTTCCTTTTCTTTTCCTGTTGGCATCACCTTTCAGTCTGTCCTGACACTAGGAACAGATTAATTGCCTGATGTCATGTGAACTTTTCCATTTATTTTACTAAATAAAGTATAAAGTGAATACCCTGACTTTTTTTGCAAAATGTGATTTCCCACTCCCCATGTCTTTCACTTAAGAACAAAGCCTAAGGATTTCTGAATGGGCAAGCTCAGAAGTCTTTCCTCTGTTTAACCAGGCTTACAATGCCTAACCAGTGAGATCAATTTCTAAGAAACATTCTTCATGGAATTGGTCTCAGGACCAACAGGTATACCCACGAGGATGAGAGAGTTCTTTGAAGGTATGGGATCACCACTGGGTAAAGCAGGTCAGAGTTGGTGCACTAAAAATGAATAAGCTTAAGATACAGCTGTAGGCTAAAACCAGTGAGAGCTGTGGTGGCAGTAAAAGGTTGTGTTGTAAAATAGGGGATGTCTCAACTTGGCATTAATGGGAAAGGCTATTGTCTGTGTGTTCTCCTCATATTCAGCTCTGGAGAATGGGGTTTACAGGCGACATGAACGAACCATCTCTGTTTTGCTGTAGATGCTTGCCATAGGTTTGCCTCATACTTGGCTAAGCACCTTTTGGCATGATGTACAAATGCTCCCATTAAACAGTGACTTCATTGTCTCTGCGGGCCTGAGAGACTTGGCTTGAGGCAGAGTGCCTAAGTGGCCGAGAAACCTCAGAGATCAGACCAAGAGGGAGAAATGGAAACAGAAGGGAGTTCTTGCAGGGAGAAGACAGGAGCTGGAAGGGAAAGTAACTGTCATCCACCACCATGCGGGCCCCATACAATAGAAAGGCAGGTTCCAAGTCCAGATTTGTTCTTGCCTTTTCCATAGCAGATCAAGCCAAAGCCCTTTTCCCTTGCAGCTGGACTTGTTCTGCCTTAACACTCTACATGTCCTTATTCTTCACTTACCAAAAGCAAGCCCGCTGCCATAATAGCTCCCTTTTATAGAGAACTGGCATTGTAGCACATTTACAAGGGAGAGTGACATGACTAAAATGATAGTCAGGATTGTGCAGTGTTCTGGAAAACTGAAACTCCCTCCATGAGGAGCTCTTCCTGTCTACGCAGCAGGGAGGTGGGCAGCATGCACTCTCAGAAGCTCTGTGGTCAAGACAATTCCAAGAACCGATACTTAAAGGAAGTAATTCAGAAGAGTGCATGCACAGAGGCAAGAGGATGGAGAGGAAAACTACCTTTGTTCAGTTCTTTGCACAGATGAACAGTCCCTAGCCTCTTGTTTGCAGGTGGCATGTGGCCTAGGAGATACTTTGGTATTACTTTCAGCTACAGCCAGATAATAAAACTGAGGATATTAGGAGAGGTGATCTGGGACATTATATGCTACATAGTGCTGCCTGCAGTCTGGCAAAGGTGTTCAATTTGGCACCTGCTCTCAGCTTGTGGAACTGTTTTAGTTAGGTGCCCTCTCTCCTGAGGTACAACTTTACAGCCACTTTCTGCCACCAGCTTGTGGTCCTGTGGGTGGGGGTGTCATTGTCATCAGCTAGAGCCTACAAGACCATAACATTTGGTCCATGGATGTAGTGTTCATGTAATAGTTGGAGTGAGATGAGTGTTGAAATGTCTCAGCGCTTTATACTGGTGGCTCAGCCTGTATTTGATGGGGAAGGTTTCAGGGCTGGACTAGAAGAGCATGAATGAAGCCTTGGCTCAAGTGGGAGAGTCTCCTGCTTGATGCATGAGGCTCACCAGGCCTGTGCATGCTGTGTATGAGACAACTGTGGGGGCCTTCAGGATGCCAGGAGGAAAGAATGTCCAGTGGTGCAGCTGGCTGTGATTCTAGAGCTGTGTGAGGGGGTTAGCAAAGATTTTAGCCTCTCTGGAGCACTGGAGAGAGGCAAGGTCTCTGCCTAGACTCTTGTGACACTAAAACTTTGGGGCTCAGAACTGGCTAAACTCATACTGGCTCAGATCCCAGGCAGAGCAAACTTGCGTCTCCCTTCCAACATCCTGGTGGTGTGTGATGTTCCTGAACTTCTACATTTATATCAGTCCAAATCCGAGAACGTGCTGGGTTGTATGTCCTGGCAACAGCCCTTGGTCATGAAACTGCTCCTTTTTACATTTATAGCTTGTTCCTTGCTAGGGAGGGCTATATTGCTGTCTCTGCAGTGCTTGAGGTAAAGTGGGAGGCCTTCTGCAGAGGCAGCTGTGAGGAGCCTTGGCACTGGAGATGCTTCCAGTGTCACGCACCTCTGTGGTCCAAACCAAACAGTGTGTGAGGATCCAGCCTGCTGCATGGGTGTCTGAGGTTCTTGTCTGGGCCCTGCATAAAGACAGCCGCTGAACTTGGGCATGGCAACGTGACTCTTCTTCAGTACGGGAGGAAAACAAAACACGAAGCAAATGAAGCCCTGGTTCTGCAAACAAGCCTGAGAGCAAAAGCAGCCTCCCCAGTGACGGTGAGCTGTGTACACCGCTAATTATAGGGGCTGCTTTCCGGAGCTTCAGTTATGTACGCTGGGGAGTTTAATTCCCTCAGCACCTTCCAGACCTCTGCACCAGCGTAACTCTGAGAACTGCAGGACAACCACAGGAAGAGCATCCTTTTCCACCTACCTGCACTACTCTGAGGCATTTGCACCGCGCAGACATCCCCTGGCACTGCCACAGCTGTGGTCCCAGGGCCTGCCTTGATCCCTGAGCAAAAATGCTTCTGCAGTTCAGCTTCAGCAGCAGCCTTAGCCTCTGCAATGCTGTGCCTCATATAGAAACCAAATATAGATTCATTCTTCAAGGACTTGGTTGGTTGGACTCTTGGGACTTGAGACTTTGGCTTGGCCTTACACTACACAGAAGCACAGGAACAAATTCTGGATTCATGACAAGGAGCGAGCAGAGCCTGTGACTCTGAAGTTCATGCACCTCATGTATCCTGTTGATACCTGTGTTCCCCAAACACCCTCACCAAGCTGACATGCAAGATAATTTACAAGCAGATGACACTGCAGGAAATTACAAAAATAAAAATGTCAGCAGCTTGGGCCTTGCCTTGTGGACCTCAGGACATAAAAGCAGCAAATCCTAACACCAACTCCTTTTTTCTTATGACTCTTGATGTCCAGTGGGATCCTTGGCCTAGATTTGGACTCCTGGATCACCCTAGAGTGCACAAAGAAGTACCTGAAAGAGGAGCTGGATGTAGCTGAACACTGAGTGGGGTACCCCCCCCACCAACTAGTAGGGAACACTGAGGAGGGGGATGAAAGTCCCCAGGGCACTTAGGTCCTGTCAATTTTAAACAGGAAAATTCAAAAGCTGGTAGCTATATACCAGTCCAGCACTGAGCTGGCCCAGAGTTCCCAGGACAGGAGGATGGTAGAGATTTAGTGGAAGGTATGGCGGGAGCTTTTTGTTTTCCTTAGACTAAAAGAGTGAAGGGCACATCACTGTTTGCCCGGCAGAAAGCAGAACCAGTAAGTCCGGGCAGCAATATCAGGAGCAACCCCCTCTATTCCAGCTTGACAGACCACAGGGCTTAGTCACTCTGCACCTCCGCACAGGATAGCTTCTCCTCAGCACCACTAATGACAGCCCAGGAGCTGATAAAGAGGTGGGAGCAGTTGACACAGGAGGGGAAATATTGCCTGAAGGATGTAACTGGGGAAGTGGTTTGCATGAGGGCAAAACAAGAGAGCAAGGAAGAGCCACAGTCTGGTTTAGGAGGAGGAGAAGACTTGCCCTGGGGATGATGTTGTCAGGAACAGACAAGGGTCAGTGACAGAAGGTGCTAGCGGTACCACAGGGAACTGATAATGACGGGGAAGGAAATATAGCAGTGGTATTTCTGGGTCTGTGAATCAAGTTTCTCTTTGACCCCTTCTGGCTCAGTTACTGAGGAATCTACAGAGCGGTGTTCTCAGTGGAAAAATTGCAAAGCCACAGATGCACACTGAAGAAGAAAGTACTTGTTGTCCCCTTTGAATTTTTGCCTTCTCTGCTTCTCTGTACATGTACCTACAAAACCAGGCAGGCAGACTAGTCCCACGCGCTACAAAGCAGCACATTTCTCCAGGTCATAAGAAGAGCTGTGCCTGCTCACTCACACCAGGCCCCTGGGCATGGCGTCAGTGCCGTGTTGCCATCCCTATCTTGGACGCCTCCAACGCTGCGTCCTCCTCCCGGGTCTCAGTGGCTTGGCTGTACCATAGGTGTCGAGTGCAGCTGGACACAGCACTGCTGTGCCTGAGTATGTGATGTTATGCTGGGTGCCAGATCAAGGTTGTCTCTCCCCATGGTGTTTGCCCTGCACTGGATAGAGGTATCTCCCTGAATGGAGATACAAAGGTGAACACCGATCCACCCTCTACTATGCCACACAGATGTATCTGAGGTGCTTTCAGTTCACATCCACTCCCAGTTCCCCTAGTCTTTCCTCTTTGCAAAGGGCTGTTGGCATTCCAGCTTTTCTACTATCCCTGAGTTACCTGTGCTGTATTTTCCTAATTTTCCCAACTCCTTCACAATTCATCACCTTGCTAGGGGTTTTGTGCAACCTTGTGCAACCTGTCATGTGCTTTGTATAAGACCTACAAAACCGCCATTATTTCTTGTCTTTTGTCTAGCATTCGAGCTTCTTGTAATATTTCTATCTTCAA